TTCTCCAGAAGTAACACAAAGGTTTAACTTTCTTGTAATGTGAATTTTCAGTTTCAGTAGTTTTATATGTTACAAGTAAGGCTGTCAACTGATTAATTACATGATGTGGCAATTAATTAATCGCAAATTAACCACACATCAATTTAGACACATCAAATTACCCTTAAAAGATCATTTAAAGTACAACAGTACAAAAAAAGTACCTTTTGAAATTAAATATTTAAAATCAACATTGCATAAATTATGACAATATGTTTTAATTTAGGTTTAATATCTATTTATTATAATTTCAAATATGAAATGATTTTCAAAAATGAAATGATTTTCTGAATATGAAACTAAAAGGTCTAGTAGTCAGTAAAAGTCTAAAAGGCAGTAAGTCATTGTCTTAAATGAGTGAGTCATTGAATCATTCATTCAACCAATTTGTTCTAACAGCTAATTCATTCAGACATGAAGCAAGTGAGTGTCTGCATCAGAAATCACATACTTCCTTACTATATAGTAGGCAAAAAACAGTATGTGACAAAAGAAATATCTCCGATTTCACAGTAGTCATATAAGAGTAGGCAAAAAGTATACTACTTCCAGCATGATTCTGTGCATACTTTACTATCCCAGATTACATTCATACTCTATACTGTTTTTGTGGTTGTAAAGTAATTACATATTCTAAAAAGTACCTACACGAGAGAGTACAGTATGTGATTTCGGACGCAACCACTGTCTTTATGAATGAGTCACTGAATCACTGACTCACTTGATTCATTCAACCGGTGGATTCATTCAGTAATGAATCACCGCTGTGTGTTGATCAGAGACGCTCAACAGTTCTGCTGTGGCTTTGATCAGAACTATTTTCATTTGTGAAACTGAACAAAAACAGACAATATTGTTTCTAAAATATAACAAAATATTAACTTATTGTTGTCACACTTTATTTTATGGTCCAATTCTCGCTATTAACAAACCATTAACTACGACTTTTGCCTCAATTTACTCCTAATTTGCTGCTTATTAATAGTTGTGTGTTTAAGTACTATAATCGGGTCGCCGGTGCATCTACCGTACCAGAAAACGTTCCACCCACGGCTCCATCATTGTGTTTTCTCAAGCGACAACGGTGTAGCAGTTCTAACTCCAGGGCGAAAGTTTGAGCAAAGCATGCTAACTGTTCTGTGTTTGGCTGCACAGACGAGCACAGAACACTGTTTAGAGTCCCAGCCTCAGAGACAACAGAGCAGTGCATTTATTGATTTATTTACTGTATATTGCTGCTGCCACACAGATCTAAAATAAACGTGATTTATTTCCCAGCTGTTTACCTTCACAGACATAACCCACTGTTTTGTTTAACCCATGTGTGTTTTTAACATAAACGTGTGTGTCTTTGGCAGTTTAAGCACAATAAGACATGAAAGAGAACTTAGTTTAGTAATGTTACTCACATGCCGTGTGACAGATGCTTTCTGTGCGTGTGCTTCGGTTGTGTGCGCTCAGAAAACCAAATATCAGACATTTCAACTCATATGGTTTAAAACGCATGATTTCAGCGTGATAAACATGATAATCAGAACCAAAACAGATGTTTTTAGCAGGTCCGAGCTGTAAAGGCGCAGCTCTATTCTGGAAAAGGGGGCGGGGAGCAGCAACTAATTTGCATTTAAAGTGACAGGCACGAAAACAGCGTGTTTCTGCTTCCACTCAAAACAGGCATTTTCAAAATGATATAATAAATGATCTGTGTAGTATTTTGAGCTGAAACTTCACAGACACATTCTGGGGACACCAGAGACTTATATTACATCTTGTAAAAAGAGGCATAATATGTCTCCTTTAAGTTTAGGTATTGGGTAGGATTAGGGATGCAGAATATGTGCTTTATAAGTAATAAACAGGCAATAAGTCAATAATAGGCATGCTAATAAGCAACTAGTTAACACTTTAGTCCCTATACTAAAGTGTTAAGCCCCATTCACATCAAGAACGATAACTATAAAGATAACTATATTAGCGTCCACATCAGCGAACGATATTGTCTGTTTATTGCCACTTAAATTCTCCAGCTTGTGACAGCAGGATGGATTCTTATTGGGTGCCAATGTTTTTATCGTCCATCAACTCGAAAAATATAGTTCTGGAAGTGATTCCAACGATATCGTTTCTCTGTGCCTTTATCGTTATAGCTGTGGTGTGGAGTCTGCTATTCTTTAATATTGAGAACGATTTTTAGAACTATATCTTTATCGTTGTCTTTATAGTTATCGTGCTTGGTGTGAACGGGCCTTAACTCTTATTGTTTACTGAACTGTAAAAACTCATTGTCACATTGACACATTGGTGCAGATATTGGGGAGAAACAGCATTCTTGCTGGTGTAATATTACTGAACTATATCTTATATTATAAATATAAGAGGGTGATTTTTTTGCCCTCATATGTTAGGCTGCATTAATAGACTCCATCACGCAGTCAGTCAGTCAGTCGTCCTGCATCATAATCATCAGACACTGCATCAGTGTAAGATGACGGACAGGTCCGGATGCATTATTGAATTGCACCACAGCCGGTTATAAACTGTGATGTCAAAGGCTTGGTGTTGTTATGTGGCGTATCTCCTCTCATCGTGTGTCTGTTCAGATAGAGGTGGTGTTCGTCGCGCTGGATCAGTGTGGCTCGTCTAATGACAGAAGGATCGCACTGATCGATAAGAACCGTGACCTCTACCTGACCTCTGTGAGAAAGCTGGGCCGAGCACACAGCATCCACAAGATCGGTAAGAGTACAGTCACACTGAGTTCAGTCAGACGTCTGTATTAAATCTGGCTCATCTGAAAGGATCTGTGTGACTCGTCCTCAGGGTCGATGGTTGACACTATGGCCTGGAACGACTCGGCTAACATCCTGTGTGGCGTCCAGGACAGCCGGTTCACAGTGTGGTACTACCCTAGTGTGGTGTTTGTGGACAAAGACCTGCTGCCCAAAACCATCTTCACCAGAGACAGCAGGTACACGCTCACACCAGCTAACTGGGCTATCTATAAGCTGAGCCGATCGGCCGGATAAGATACCTTATTATTATCTAAATTGTTTGCATTTTTAGAACATATATTAGCTTATTTATATATTTATATTAGCAACCCGTTAAACTTGACAACACTGCATGAAAATTTGGTCTGATATTCACATTGATATGGAGAAAAATAAAATAAGCAGACGGGCTGAATAAAAATGCATCTTCATTCTACTTGCTAGAAAGGAAGTCAAAACAGTAGGCCTATCTACATGTTTTCATTCGCATATGTTTTGCACATATAGTTTTGCATTTTAATCTGGACTTAAACAAGGCAGTCTAGAAAAGATTTTTATTATGATTGAACAATAATTATTTAAACAATAGTAATTTTCATAACCCATTGGCGGGTGTTTTTGCTTTATTAAATGTTGATATATTTCTTTGAAAGTAATGGTCAGACATTTATCATTTAAAATTTTTGTATGTAACACGAAATATAGGCTTATCTTCATATTTATATCATGAAAGATAAATGTGACCCTGGAGCACAAAACCAGTCATAAGGGTCAATTTCTTGAAATTGAGATTTATACATTTATACAAGCTGAATAAATAATCTTTCCATTGATGTATGGTTTACGCTCCGCATCTGCCGCTTCGCCAAGGTCAGTGCATCGCACATACTGAGAAAACTCAGATGAACTAAGAACATTCCAGATCCTGTAGTCAAATAAATACACTGAAGACATGCACGACCAGTCAAACGTTTATGAACAGTAAGATTTTTAATGTTTTTTAAAGAATTCTCTTCTGCTCATCAAGACTGCATTTATTTGATCCAAAATAAGATCAAATCCGTTTCAACAAACCCATCACAATTTCACCATCCAGTCAGGGGCGGTTCTAGACCACAGTAACTGGAGGGGCCACTTGTGCTTTTAGGGGGCACAATTTTAAAATTCATCTTAAACTACTTTAAGTAGCCTATTATTCATTCAGTAATTTTTCACCATGTCATGTATCGCTGCAATCTAGATGTAATCTATAAC